TAGTACTCATCTATAAACAGTTTAAAACAGGTAAAGGTTTTAACATTGGTAGTACATGGAAAATGTACATCCTTTAGAGCAGGGGCAGGCAACGTTTTTTGATCGGAGTGCCGAAAAAACCACAAGGTCTACTTTGGAAGGTGCCGGAGTGCCGGCATTCCAGAAAAACGAAAGGGGGGGGCGGTACATGGCAGGACGCAGTGCATATTAGTATATTTAATAATCATAAATGTTGCCTTTGTCGTGTACTTTTTTTTGTTAAGCATGTTGCAGTGAGAGAGAAAGGAAAAAAAAGGAGAAATAAGCAAAAGAGGAAAGAGAGAAAGAGAAAGAAGGAAAGAGAAAGAAAAAAGAGGGGGGGGAGAGAGAGGAAGGAGAGCAGAAAGAGAACCAGACACACACACATGCACACAGAACCACACACACAGAGAACTGCGCGCGCGCGCGCACACACACACACACACACACACACACACACACAGAACCACATGTGCACAAACACAGAGAACCAAAACAGACGCATGCACACACACATCCAGAACCAGACGTATGTGCACACAGACGCACAGAACCAGATGCATGGGTGCACAGAGCTGGGCTGCTGGGCCACCGGACAAAATCTGACCCAACAATACCCTGTGGCTGCCAGAGCCCTGTGCTTCCCCGAGGAGCCAACCCCCGGGGTTCAGCGCGATCAGCCGAGGCCCCACCCCAGAACCTACCCATCAGCCCAAGGGGCAGCACCAGCCTCACCCCAGTAGGGGGGCTGGGCTAGTGCTGGGCTTGGAGCAGGTAGGAATGAGGCAGGCTCAGCTGCAAGCCCTGCTGTGAGCAGCCCAGGCTCTGTGGTTGGCAGCAGCTACCCAGAGCTGGGGCTGGCTGCAGCCAGGAGGTTGCAAACATCTGCATGCACGCCTCAGAGCAGATGTTGGGTGGGGCCTGAGGCAGCATAACCCCGGCCTCTCCCCTGCTGCCAGCACAGAGCTGATGACTGGGCTCTGGAGCCTGGAGCAGCTGCTTGTAGCCAGCCTGGGCTCTGGAACGCTGCAGCAGGGAGGCTGCAAGAGCCCAAGCTGGCTACAAACAGCTGCGCCAGGCTCTGGACCCCTGTGCCAGCAGCGGGGGAGAGACCGGGGGTATGCTGCCTCAGGCCCCTCCCGCCACCCGCTCTAAGGTGCGCGTGCATGTGCCGGTACAGAGCTGATGCTGGAGCCCAGTGCAGCTGTTTGCAGCCTCCCTGCTGCAGCCAGCCTCGGCTCTGGGTAGCTGCTTGTGGCAGGGCTTGGAGCTTCCCAGCCACCTGCTGGGAGTAGCCTGGGCCACATGGTTGGCAGCAGCTACCCAGAGCTGGGGCTGGCCATGGCATGCTGAGCAAAATGGCCTCACGTGCCATGCTCGGCATGAGTGCCAGGTTTGCCAACCCCTGCTTTAGAGCATTATGTAGTAATATATAGACTGGGTTATATTATTATTTTTCACCTTGGGTTGACATCTGTGAACAAAACAAAAGCTGCATTTAAAATATTGAATCAAACTATTAATACCCACCTGTAGTCTTTTCCAGTCTCTTCTAACAAGCTTTCTCCCCTTTCCCATACACCCATTTTATCTTTAGCGGGGAGAAGGGTCAGAAATATTTATATAATTCCAAATAATAAATGATTTCCATAAAATTCTCACCACCTATTGCACAGTCTTGTGCTGTCATGTTATTTATATAGATATATTGATATTGATATATCTGGATGATAGAAATCTAGATAGATGAATTTGCCTGAAATCAACTCTGCAAATCAAAACTAAATCCACTGCATTAACAGGAAACAGAAGAAAAAGTTTGGGATGGAATGAAGCAGAGTGATTTGAGTAAAAGGGTGCATAACTGTCTTCAAAAGAGCTTTTCAGCCCAAAGCATCCTTTTTGTCAAGTAATTTCAAAACTCTAAGTCTTTCAGCCAGCTCTGATAAAGAAGCCAGTGTCTCTTGTGCATCAGGGTGAAAGCACTAAAAAGAAAATAGACTGTCTAAGAATGCAATAAATTGTATCAGGTCATTGCACTAATGAATAGTTTGGGTCCAAACCCCCATTAGTTTGTCTGCAGGAAAAGAAAATGAGTAAAACAGGATAAAGACATCTCAAAGAACCTTTTCCTGGTACCATCCTGAGCTTTCATTGTTGGAGGACATCCTTTTAGCTAATTTCAGTCCCATAAAAAAATCTATTTGGTGATTAGTAATCGGTGGATAAGAACAGAAAGCCCAAGTGAATAAAGCCATAAATACTAAAGTCCTTGGGAAAAAAGCCTGTAAAACTGTCAAAAAGCATTGCTTAAGTGACAAAAGATAGCTTTTGGTAACAAGAAGTGTCAGCCCAGCAGACACTAATCCATATTCACATACGGAAGACAGTTTCAGTTTCTTCTAAAATGCAAACTTTCTCTGCTAATAATAGTCATTCTTACGTGTTAAAAGCAGCTCTTTCTCTCTCTTCAAGGATTTCTCAGAACTGTTAAAGTGAACTTTAGTTTCAAGAAGGTAATACTCAACTGCCAGTCCTTCACATGAAACAAGTTCCTAAAGTTAAAAGCACATAATGTGAATGAGTTCAAGGTAGCATTAAGTAATATTTTAAAAGGAAAGTTTATCTTCTTGTGCTGAGTGGCTGTTCCTGTTTGATTTCTCAAAGTGATTTAGATCCTAATTTTAGTTGAAGCAGAGGAATATTGTATCCTTTAATATCAGAAAGATATATACAGTGAATTTATAAAAATAAACACATATTCTACCCCTAGTTCTAGATCCTATAAACACTTACTGCTGGGAGTTGTGTTTGTTGGTGCTTGTAGTTCCAGTAATGACAATTATTTGGCAGTGGAGCACAATATCCGTAGCAGTGTTAGAAAGGATTAGTAAGATGTTATCCTACATAAGTATTAGAGTATTGAATGACTAGAAGGTTAATCCACAATCAAAACAGTGAAAGTGTCTTACATAAATTGTAGGGGATGTAACATCGCATTTTGTGACAACACACACAGCTAAAATATTCTAAATCAAATCTGTATATGTTGCTGTGATCTTTTTTAAAGTGGAAGCTTAGAATTTGCAATTAGTTCATATAAGTTAAAAGTTATCTATAAAAACAATTAGTGAAGCATCAGAAAAAATAAAAATGCATGGGAACCCAATGAAACCAGTTGTTGACAAGTTACTGTGTTGCAAAAAGTAGATGTTGGAAGATAAATACTTGGGACAAGAGCCTGAAACTTCTTTCCAGAATGTTGGTGTCTCTAGTTTATGCTCCCTGTTATAGTTTTATTTTACATTGTTATAAATTATTACACGATGAAAAATATTAATGATAACATTAATTACAGCTTTCAAGTGTTTTTAATGCCATTCCTTAACTGTCCTTGCTTCCAGCAGGTTTTCTTTTTTTTCTTTTTTGCATGAAAGGGCATTGGCAAAAATATTAAGGAAAGTGGAGTGTAACACTAGTTGCCTAATACTATGAATGCTTACTATGTACATAACAGTTGGGAAATCCCATTTAGTTCTCAGTTTTTTGAAAACTGTCATATTTGAATAAAGTTTGTATGTTTCTGTGAGCTCAGGCCCAACGTTTGTATGTCATCAGTCTGACTGAGAAGAACAGATGTTAAGTTTCCTCCCCACCCTGCCCCAAACACCCACAGAAAAAGAGAAATGTTCTATTACCCAAACAGGCATCTTCTTGATTGTGCAAAAAGGCAGCAAAGGGCTGTAAATCTGCCTTTTCATTATAAAGGGCAACAGTAGGTTGATTTATGGTGAAAAAACAGCTGTTAGGCTTGTATAATGTGTGTACATGAAAGTGCAAGTTAACTCAGAGTTTTACAGTAGCTAAATATTTAGATATTGTTGCTGGCTTTTTTTTTTTTTTACGGGAATTTAGTGGTAGATTAATCACAGGGAAGAACACATTGCCAAGAAAAGCTGGAAAATTTCTGTTTAACCTGGATAACATGTCATGATAATACAATTCTATGAAGTACTGGGGAGATGTTTCTTTTTTTTTTTTTTAATTGGGTTTGAACGTCCAATTCTCTGCCCAGGTTATCATGCTTCCTTTGAGCCATTATTCTCTTCAGGCTAATTGGTTTTTAAACCTTTCTTTTAGCCATCTCTACCATGGATTTATTTAGCAAACACTTCCTTCATTTCTATCACATTTTAGGTGCTGAAACTACAAACGTATAGAATATGGGTGGGTGGATGAAGGTAGGTATATAACATGGTAATGGGGATGAGAACTCAATGAACTTATGGAGAAAAACATATAAAATCTTAATAAGAATGAAACCAATGGAATTGTACAAGAAGTCTTTTGAGTACTGAACAGGATTTAATAGAAAATTGTATCCTTTCTAAAGACTTGTTTAAACAACATGTAGAAATCTGTTGTAAGGCTTATAATTCTCTATTCAGTGCTATCAACTAGCTTTAATAATTTTATTGAAATAATTTTCTATTAATATCTATGGATGTAGAATAATTTTGCATCTAGCATAATTAAATCCTTTTGGTTAAATCCATAGGGTGCATATATTTGCACTAGAGCTTACAGTGTCATGATTTATTAGGGAAATGCCTTGGCTACAGTTAGACAAGCCCACATTACACTCTTAGGTCTCTTGCATTATGAACTCGTGCTGCATAACTCTTCACACTGAGCCTAGGGTAGCTTACTGTATAATTAGTGGTTTTATCAAACCCAGCTTTCTATGACGCCTGTAGCGGAGCATGTGCGTCTGTGTGTTGTATACATAGCTATTTGTATATTATTTGGCTCCTTGATACTATGGAGTGGCCAGTAATAATGATCTTTGTGTTTTATCCTGTATAATGGTATTTTTTCCTTGCAGAGAAGTCCATGAAACAAACTACTACATTTTTATGAAGTTTGAATATTTACTACTATTTTGTTTGTTTGTTTGTTTGTTTGTTTCTTGTTCTTTTAAGTCTGAACAGCCTAGCCCAGCCAGTTCAAGCTCAAGTTCCAGCTCCAGTTTTACACCATCACAGAACAGCAGACAACAAGGTACCAAAAAAGGAAAAGAAATTGAGAAAAATGTGAAATGAAGGGGCCAACAAACAACGTAATTAGATGGCATCTCATTACCACTTTTCTGCTGTCTCTTATGGTCTGAAGTAATGTATTAGCCTCTGTTCTGCTTTATCTATTTTCCCCTCTTTCCCCTAGGCATATGTAAACATGAAAGATGAAAGAGAAATATTTATGCTCATTGAGAAATATTTATGCTCATTGGGAAGAGGGACAAGATAGCTGTTTGATTCAGTTATATATTATCAAAAGTGTGCTACTTACTTCATAGCTGCTAGACCTTAAGAAGCTTGCCTTTTTAGGGTTTTAATCCTGCAGAAGAATGAGTAACTATAGATTTTTCCTCCTGGTTGGAGCCCCACTCAGCTAACATCTAGTCAGGATCCCTTTGAAGGACCGTTGTCTGATGGTCCAGTTCTGTGACTTGCTGAATGTTTCTTCCCACTCCTTTCCCATTTTAATGAATTTGTCAAGAGTTGGAAGGCACTTGGCTAACCTCCTGGCTTTGGCTCCATATTATTTTAGAATTTGAAAAGCAACAATATTGACTTTTCATAATAATCTGACGTAAAGAGAAGAGATAATTATTAGACTTTACATATAGGTATTGGTTTACTTGCTAATAATTTTTAGCTTCCTCGGAAATAAGTAAACAAGTGTGAGTTGCTGTCAGAAGCCCCTGCCAAAGCAGTTCATGTGTAAATAAACTGAGATTTATTTTCTTAGAGCTATTAAACTACTTATTTCCAGTTTGGCTTTTTTTCCCTTGACTTCATCAGATTGGACAACTAAGATTGTTCTTAATCAGGTTTTAACCCCCTCCCCTCTAAAAAAACAAAAACAAAAAAAAACAAAAAAACAAAACAGGAAGCAATACAAGGAAAATGGCTTTTGATTAATTAAAATAGGTTTTTTTTTTCATTTTATCCATGCATATACCTCAAATATATATTTTTGCTTTTAAGATAATTATTATAGATTAGATCTCTTTTTAAAATCAAATCTTCTGTCTGAGGTGCTAAACAGAGCACATATATCTATCAAACTGTCTTTAGAAAGCTGACAATTACTGATTTAGATATGTATTTTAACAGCATTATTTCCAATGTGTTACATCTATAGGTGCAGACAGAAGTGATGATATTGGCCCAATCTGGCCCCTGAACACTGTCTATAGTTGTGACCAAGCAGAAGTGCATAGCTACAAAGCTCTTTCAAAGGGCCCAGTCCTGCAAGAATCTGAACCCTGATTTCATGAGGGTTCAGATGAAGACATTTCAAAACATAGTGTCTTCAGTAACTTGTCTGCCTGCCTCCCTGCCTCGAAGCGTTTTTCAGAATAGGAGGGAGGAATGGAGTGGAGGGAATTCAGTTTGGGGTTTTTCAGCCAGCACTAGAGGGTGGGGTGGATGGACTGGAGTCCTCCCAAAGTAAGGGGGCTCTAATCCACCCACTTAACCCTCCATCTCTGGGTGGGGAACCCCTAGAATTAGCTCCCTTTGCCCCTTCCCATTCTGAAAACAGCACCTGGGCTGGGAGGGAGGAGAGACCATTTCTAGGGGAAACCGGCTATAGGCTCACAGCCAGCAGCTGAACTCCCCAACCCGAATTAACTTCAGTTTGGTGTGGGAGATCATTGTAACTCAGAATGCTTCCTACAAAGCATTATGAGTTACAGCAGGGAGCTGCTCTTTTGTCTGCCCTGATTTAGTCTGAGACACGAAAAATGAAAATAGGTTGCTGCTGCATTACTGGATTCAGACATTTGGTTTGTAATTAAGGCTGTGCAAGACCTTTCATATTGCACCACTATTCATGAAAAGCTACCTAATAATATGGTCTGCCCTATAACCTGAGCAGCTGGTATAGATTTGTTTCTCCCTCCCTGTTCCTTCCCACAATTTCTTCTAATAATTTTATTGGGGAGCCAAGTAGACCCATTCCTTCTTCCTGAACTTAACATGAGCTCAGAAACAAACACACTTCTAGTTCTTAGCTTTTTGCAGAATAGGTCTTGGGCCTCTCTTCCTACACTTCTACCACCACCATCTTCAAGGAGTGGGTGGTCTGCCTGCCTCTATTCCTACAGCAGTAAAATGCCAGTAAAAAATCTTTTGTTCTGAGAATTCCCTGTTAAAGAAATGCATCATCCTGTCTGTGTCTTCATAAACACACACATGTATCTACTAGGGATGGAATACAGAAAACATTGTATGGCAGGATACCTTCTGCCTCTGGAGATACCAAAGGTGGATATATGTCTCTGTCTGGCCTAGAAGACCTTTCTTCATAACAAAGAGGAGCAAGCCAGCTGGCTGCTCTTTGAAGGGTCAAAGATAATGCCATCTGATTGCTTCTAGAGACACCAGGAAGAGTAAAGATAAAAAGGTCTTGTGTTGCACACATTATGCACACACAAAAAGGTAACGGCACTTAAGCCTATCAGGAGGTAGCTTTGGACTTGCTAGGGAAGCAGGCTGTTTGTAGCAGATGAACAGAACACTCTGGGTTCAATTTCTCTTTCCTTGGAGAGTCAAATACTCAAAACTATCTAAGGGCTGCTAGTGAATCCGAAAAGGATCACTGGAGGACAAGATGCTTAGAGTGGCCTTGCAAATCTTTGCAATATGATGTACCTCAGAGAGTAGTAATGGATAAATGTGGGGGATTTTGTTTATTTGTTTGTTTGGGGGTTTTTTGTGTGCGCCCACCTTTGAGAAGGATCAGGTATTTTTGTATGTTGTTGTTAAATTTCCATCCTATATTAGTTTTTTAACTTGCTGTTGCCTCTTGGTTTTTTTCTTTCTTTATTTTCCTATACTTTTCTTCTGTATTTTCAGCTCCTTGGTCCATTTTTACTTTATTTTCAAATGTTTCTATCCTTTTCATACTTTCTATCCTTCATTTCTCTTCCTCCTACATCTTATACAGTACATATTCAATTTCTTAATCTTTTTCTTATCTTCCCTCCATCTTCTTGCTGTCCAAATATGGCCTCTTTATCATAGTTTCACCTTAAGTCCCTTCATTAGTCCTTTTGCTCATTCTCTTCAACTGTTTTGCCCTTCAGCCACTCACTCTGTGCACACGTAGGCAACTGAAAAGGGAGCTGGCCAACAGGACCAACTGGTATCTCCTTCTCCAGTCCCTGTGGTGGTAATGCAGATGCCAGGGAAAGAATTTATTCCTAGACTCCCACAAGCTTATCAAAAGCCAAGAACAAGGCTTCTCTTCTGAAGAGTCCTGAGAAGGGCTCAAACCACTAGATATTGTTGAACTCTGAATTAATAAGCATTTTGAATTGGGTGAGTTTACTCTGGTGTAAATCTAAAACAGGCAAAAGAGACAGTGATGATCATCTGCTTTAGCTTGTGGCAAGCACTTAATAGTGCCTCAGCTGGCAATGAATACTACCATGGGAGTTGCCTCTTCTGGCATTAGAGTGCCTGACCCACTAGGTATCTGCCCGTCAGCTCTATCTGGGCTTGACTCCAAGCAGGCCTCAAGGTGTGTAAATAATGATCGGAATCTACTGATTTGAATTTGCTCAAACCAAGCCAACTTCAACAAATCCTGCATATCCTTACTTGTACACTGTCTTAAATAAAGATTTTTGAGAACTGATGTTGCCAGCCAAAGTAATTAGAACGACTCTGGCCTGACTTCTGTCAGAATTGACGTAAACCACGGCACAGTTTTCCCTCCCTTAGAGAAGTCTGGTCATATGGCTGTGTACAGGTGTTATATTTCTATTGAAGAACTGCAGCCCTTCTGGTAGAAACAGTGTTCATACAGTTACTCAGACAGCTTCTCCCAGAACAAAAATGGCTGTTCTTAGAGAAAAATAACCTACCTCCAGTCAGCTAGAAATCACTTCCAAGAGATTTTCTCCCAAGGGACCTGTATGCTTCTCTGCCATTTGACTCTTCCCAGTGACCAGGAGGAGTCGGGTGGTTGTGAAATGTTCCTCAAGCATTCTGTGACCGGGGTAAGTGGGAAAAGCCAGACCAATTCCACACCCTGAGCAGTTGTGCAATGACTGGAGCATTGCCAACTATTGCAATGCGAATTGCAACAGTGTGATCAGCTGCCACTGTAGTTGTGACTATTTTTGCACTTGCCACCTCCCTCCCTTCCCCTGACTCCCAAAGGCAGTGCCTGGGGCTGTGGCCCTGGTCACCCCCCACCCCCTTCCCTTATAATGCTTCTGGAGAAAGAAGCTGCTGTTCACCTCCTCCCAGTCAAGTGAGGTCTGCTTTCACCAGGCTGGGATTATCCTTGTCTAGAGAAGCTGTGGGAAGCTGTGGGGGTTAGATGCTCCCCTCACCTTGGCTTATGGGAGGGTAGGGGAGGAGCAGCCTCCCACTGCTCCCCACCCAATCCTCAAAAAAGATTCCCCAGTGTGAGGAGTAGGCAGGCACTTTGCCACACCGCTCAGTCCACCTGGCTCCCAGTGCCTGGAGCAGCCATTGCTCCCTTGCCTAGCAGTTCTGGCTTTGTTCCAGCTCTGATGTTATATAAGAGAACCTCTCTCTGACTCAGTTTCTCTGTTTATCAAACTTCATGTAACAGTACCTAACTACATTACAAAAGTCTTATGAGGCTTAATTCAATTACATTAGCAATGTACTTTGAGTTTTTTTAATTAAAGCAGTGGCACTTAGCCTCACTGGACTTAGGCACCCCTCCATAAATTTTGTGACTTGAATGGCAACCAATGTCAAAAACTAATTTGTATATCACAGTGCTTACTTCCTTACACAGGGGCTGGGCAGTGGGGATGGGGGATTGTCCATGCTGGGACAGGACTGAACCTTGTTTATCTGCTTATTACCTCATGCCTTGCTTATCTTCTCACACCTCACAGCACCCTTTAAAGCAGGAGCGGTCAATTATTTTGGGTGGAGGTCTGCTTACCCAGTTTTGGCAAGCTGTCGAGGGCTGCATGGGTAGCCCTGACCCTTCACAGGTGCCCCATTCCCTGGTCACCATGTTGGGACCAATGTCCCAATGTCTCAGGGCCAGCACCAGCGGGGCTCAGAGCTGGGTGCAGGCTGGCAGGGGGCTGGGCTGGGCTGCATCAGCAGGGAGAGTGGGGAGCTGGCTCAGCTCCATAGAGCCCCTGCTGGTTGTGACCCTGTACTCCTGCTGCCCTGCTCTGGGCCCCACTGGTGCTGGCCCCGGGACACTGGTGTGGGCCCCGTGCACCTGCTCACTCGCAGTGCCATCCAACCCTGCTGAACCCCTGCTCCACAGCAAAGAACAAGCTGGTGCTGAGTGCAGGGAAAAGTGGCTCCTCCTCCACCCTGTGGCCAGTGGTCCCTGCTGCAGCCGCTTGCAGCGTGCACAGGGCTGTCCTGAGCAGGCACAGACAGCCCCATGCTGGCTGCAAGTGGGGCACTGGTCACAGGGCAGGGGAGGGGCTGTTTTTCCTGTGCTTAGCGCCGGCTCCAGGCTCGCCCACTGGGGCTGTGCTGTGGTGGTAGCAGCTGCGGCCCCCCTGCTTGCTGCACTGGGCAGTGTTTCCCTGAGTTTCTGGAGTGGTACAGCCACATGTTCTCAGGCCAGGAGCCCCTGGGGCTCCCAGCTGCGGGGTCGGGGCCAGGTGGGCCCAACTCGGCTGCTTTGTGTGTTTAAATATGATGTACTCTAGAATCAAACTCCCTGTGGCATGATTCTGTTAAACTGTTCCTTACCAGTCCTCCTTTAAAGCAGCTGTCCTGTTTTACATTGCCCAGAAATGTTAAACATGCAGATTTGAATAACTACATTATAAAAAATAGATGAAATAAAAGTAGGTAAATCCTAAACTGATGTTTAAGCAGGTTTACAGGAGAACCAGGCTTAGCACCTGAGACAAATTAAAGGAGAGAGATAGGATGGTGTCACATGAGATTGACACACTTTTTTTTACACAGCCACAGTAGCAAAGTGCTCACTTGACCTGAAATTGACTTTGAAATAAAGGGAACAGCTAAATCTAAATAAATCAAAAACAGGCAGACAAAGACTGCCTTGCCCAGAACAAGTTACAATCAAAATGATTTATTAGACTCTGCTTTCCAATGCATCGATTAACCTAACAAATGTGCTATTACCAATATGTCCCTGTAGAGCTTTAGTCTTTATTCACATAAAATATCCTTTGAGAAAGGGAAGGGGGGAAGCCTGTCAGTGTAAAAGTATCTTGTTTACAATAACAAAAAAAAATATTCCATTTTTCCTAAATTAAAACATGCATGGAGAATATTTGGTATGGAAATATTTTACTTACTTGCAGGGGACCAGTTCTACAAACATTTATATGTATTACTCCTTTTACTGTTGTGAGTAAGGCTATTGAAGTTGCTAAGCCTACTCACATGAGTAAACGATTAATGTGGATTATTTTCTTTGAGCATTGCAATGTGAGTTTGATTTGTGTATGTTTTGTTGATTGTGTTGTTCAGGTCCCTTGAGGTCTATAATGAAAGATCTGCGTTCTGATGATAATGAAGATGAATCAGATGAAGCAGATGAGAATGACTCTGAAATGGAGAGACCTGTAAATACTCGTGGAGGAAGCAGAGGTCGCAGGTGAGTAGCAAACACTTGCCAACAACTTGAAACCTGAGGAACTGTGTTGGACCATGGTTGTGATTGGGGGAAAGGGTATCAGCACCTGAGCTACAATAAGTCTGATAAACAGCCAGGAAATTCCACAGTCATTTTCTACAAGGAGAACACACATAAAGTACCTCCTGTAAACTATAAGATCCAGACATTCCTGAATATGAGCTGCTTCTATAAAAACCATTAAGTTCATTGTCAGCTTGATTCACTTAACCTGCACTGATTTTTCACACCATTGCGATGCAAGTGCTTAATCTTGATTTACAATGGTGTTAGACCTAAATCAAGCCCTCTGTGTGCAATGTGACCTGTTCCATGAGATACAGGATACAAGTTAAGACAAAAATCTTACAAATGATTTAAAGTTCAACTATTCTAGGGGAGAATCTGAAAAAAGAAATGATACTGAACTGTTAATTCACAGCTAGGGAAAAAGTATAAAATAAAAACAATTATAATAATCTTATCCTATTCAGCATATTTGCAATGAAATACTTGTACTAGCAGAAACCGTAGGAGTGAGGAAGATTATGGAACAAAGGACAAATATCTCCAAGAACGTGTTCCTCCTTCCCATAGTTTCAAGTGGTCCTGCGATTAAGGCACATACAACTCTGTCTCGCTCAGAAAACTATAAAAGTTAAATCAAGTTTGCTGTTGTTCCTGTTCTGTTTAATATTGATAGCTTTATAATTAAAAAAGTGTACTTCCACTGAGGCACAAGGTTTGTGGAGAGAGAGGCACCTTCAGCTCTCTGTATTACATGAGCTTATTCCAGTTGGATTCTCCAAAGTGGAAGCACCAGGTTGCTTGGGTTCTTGACCATTAGTCAGTGGCACTTTCCTTAGTTAATGACAGCTTGTGTAGCAAAGGATGTTCTCACCTGAAAAGTCTGTCCACATATGCGGTCTTATGTTTTTACATCTAACTTTTGTGGCATTCTTTCTCCTCAGGGTTAGTCTAAGTGATGGCAGTGACAGTGACAGCAGTTCAGCCTCCTCACCACTACATCATGAACCACCACCACCTTTATTAAAAACTAACAATAACCAGGTACAGTAAGCATCCATTGATAGCAGCTGTTTAGCTTTAGAACATGTTCATGTTCTTGATTGCCTTAGCCCAATTACTTAGCCTGTAGGTAAGTGTTAGGGCTTTTTTCCAGGGGACTGAAAAGTATTTGGTTGAACAGATATTCATTATCAAGCAGAAAAGTAGTATATTCAGCAGCATTTTAAGGAACTCTATGCTCCTGCATAAGTCAAGTCATACTTATAAGTTAAGTATAAGTTAAATGTTTAACCTGGCTTTACACTTCTAAATGAAGACAAAGGGGGAAAAAATCAGAACAGCAAATACAGTAGCTTAAACATGTCTTTTACAAATACAAAACAAACAGTATCAGCTGTAACAGGACTGCTACTGTTATCAACCATATTAAGTGAAACAGGCTTTTTGTTTGTTAAAAATAATGCTTAGAATTGTACAGCTAGTAGTTAATGTTTGCAGTGCTATTAAATATAGGTAATGTATATATGTAGTATCTGACAGATATAGAAACTAAGACACAAATCTAGTTTCAATGATCCAAATCTGTATCTATACAATGGGTCAGTGGAAAACAAAGATTATAATTCAACTACATCTCAATGCTTCTCTAAATTAATGGAGACCTGTTGGGACTTCACCCATGACTGGACCACAGTTATAAATGGTTATACCCTGTATAGGAGAGATCAAGTAGACAAAAGGGGCAGGGGCATAGCTCTCTATGTCAAGGTGAGCTACACGTCCCTGCTAGCTGACATTGGCGACCAGAGTAGATGGCTGGAGACCCTCTGGGTTAAAATCCGTGGGGAACATGGCACAGGGAACACGATGGTGGGAGTCTATTACAGACCTCCCACCCAAAGTCAAGAGCTGCACGAGGAGTTCACCAGGGAATTGGCTGAAGCCACATGCTCCAGGACCATGGTTGTCACGGGAGACTTCAACTACCCAGAAATCTTGTGGGAAGAGCACTCAGCTAAATCCGATCAATTGCAAAGCTTCCTCTCATGCATGGATGACCTCTATCTGACACAAGAGGTCTACGGACCAATGAGAGGTAAAGCGCTGCTCAACCTGGTACTGGCAACCGGGGACAACCTAATCGGTGACCTAACAATCAATGGGAAGCTGGGTGACAGCAACCATGACCTGATCACCTTCACCATCTGCTGTAAAGCTGGCAAGACAGTCAGCAATACAGAAGTCCTTGACTACAGGAAAGCTGACTTTGACAAGCTCAGGTGGCTTGTCGGTGAGGCCCTAAGGGACCATGACCCAAAGGGAAGGGGAGTTCAGGAAGAGTGGTTGCTCCTCAAGGGAGCGATCCTTGATGCACAAGCTAATGCCATTCTGTCTCGGAAGAAAGGCAGCAA